CCCCCCCTTCCCTTTCCCCCGCCCCCCCCCCCCCCCCAACACACGCCACACTCCCTCCGACTATATACCTTTTCTACTGCTCCTGCACCCGCCTTCTTCGCCACCTGTTCGCTCCTGCTCGCAGGCAGTTTGGTGCTGGTGCTAGCTGTCGGGAAAAGGGGATTACCTCAGAGAGTCATGGCTTCCCCGGGCAAGCGCAGAGAGACTGACCTCATGAAGCTGTACGTTCCCCTCTTTTCTCTGTCGCTTGTGTAGAGCCTCGACTGCGTTGACGGTCCTTTGGCTTCCGTTTCTAACCTCCCGTATGTCTCTTGACTCTACCCTTGTGTTGCTCCTTTGTGTGTCGCCAACTACAGCATGATGGCAGACCACGAGATTCAGATGGCAGATGGGGACCGCGTCGGCGAGTTCTACGTCAAGTTTCACGGACCCAAGCAAAGTAGGTTGTCCCTCGCTCCTCTGCTTTTGTAGTACTAGCCGTGCTTTTGTTTGCGTGGGGTACCGTACTAACGCCTGTTTTTCATCTTTGGTAATGACGCACAGCTCCGTACGAGGGAGGAGTTTGGAAAGTCCATGTAGAGCTGCCGGAGACCTACCCATACAAGAGCCCAAGTATTGGTTTCATCAACAGATTATACCACCCCAACGTCGATGAAATGTATGTCCTCCTCCTTCCGCCTCTTTTTCCCCCTACGATATGTCTGGATATACTAACAGGGGTGTGCGTTTTATTTTGTAATGTTGACAGGTCTGGAAGCGTGTGCCTGGACGTGATCAACCAAACGTGGAGCCCTATGTACGACCTAACTAACATTTTTGAAGTCTTCCTCCCGCAGCTTCTGACCTATCCAAACCCGACCGACCCTCTCAATGGGGAGGCTGCGGCCCTTCAGATGCGGGAGCCAGACCGATACAAACAAAAAGTGCGCGAGTACGTGCAAAGATACGCCAAGCCCGAGGACTTCCCATCTGGGTCCGCAGACGACGAGGAGGATGACGACGACGCCTCCAGCTTCTCCATGACGGATTCAGAAGGAGAGGATGACGTGCCGCTGCCAGGTGATGTGGGCGCTTCTAATCCGGCCGGTGCGCCGGCGGCTGACGGGCGGCATCTTTAGCGATGGCACGCGTTTTTGGTTTGATTGTACATGGATGAGGACTGTGTGTGGGCCAGAGATAGAAGCGGATGTTGTAGCGCTTTGGTTTTGTATTATAGAAGAGCATAGTGGAATATGTTTCTGTGTCTACAAGAGCCCCTTGCGTTTGGTTTTGTGAGCGTTTGTTTTGACAAGCGGCGAAGCGGCGAAGGCGAGATGCGAGATTGAGTCTGTGAGTATGGCTTGGGCTATGTGGGGATGGGAAAGTCGCGTGAGCGCAATGATTCGGCTGTGTAGAAATGGGGTGATATGAGCAGTTGTTCTCGGGCGAGGCGTGGAGGCTCGGGAAGGGGAGGGATGCGGAATGGATTCATGACACGAACGCACGAGATTTTCCCATAAATTACGAGATATATCCTTTCCCTCGTCTCTGCCTCCCGTGCCCGCAAACCCATTTTTATGGCAGAGAAAGCACTCACCCTTCCTCCTCCACCACTTACAGTACATCCTCCCTATTCACACGTCTCACACGCGTAATCGGTGCACACCTGGACACGTGTTCCCATCTGCCCCACTCTCCTTCGTTTTGATCTCTTTTGATCCGCCCTTCGTCTCCGCCCTCCCGCAACTCACGTTCCTGTTCACCATCGCCCAACGTCCCAATCATGCCTCACGTCTCCGACGACCCTGCCACTGACTCCGAAACCCTTCTCCCCACTGTCATCTCACACCTGCCCTCGCTCCTCTCCAATCCGCCCCTCGCCGTCGCCGTCTTCCAGGCCGTCCGCAATGCCTGCCTGGTCCCGCGCTCGCTACCGCACCTCTCGCCCCTTCTCATCCCGCTCTCCGCCGTTGCCCTCTCCTCCCCGCCGCTATGCAAAGACGCCATTGCCACCTGCGTAGCCCTCGCCCGCGCGCTTGTGGCCCGCGAATCCTCGCGCCTCGTCGCCACCTACATCGCAGACCTAGTCGCCGCCGCCATCGCCCTCGTCCAGCATGAGTTGCCCACCCCGCTCACCGATTTCCTCCCGACCTTCTTCGACGCCGCCCGCACACACGCTTCCGCTGAGACGGAGATCTCTGCCCTCGACGCCATCAAGATCGCACCCATCCCCGTCTCCCCGCGCTCGCTCGAGGCCGCCTTGCGCCTGCTCGCCGCCTTCGTCCCGTCCCACAGAGCATTCCCCTTCCTGCATCCCCACTCGGGGTCGCCCCCAGAGAGCCAGCCCAACAGCCAGCCGCTCGCTTTAAACGCCTCGCCCGCGGCCCCAGCCATTTGCCTGTGGGTCAAGATTGGCGCCTCCGCCCGATCGGCCGTATTGGCCTTTGCCGCCAGCCATGTCCTCCTCACCGCGCGCTGCGGCGCAGACGTCGCGGTCGCGTCGCTCGTCGTCTTGGAGCGGGCCTTCGATGCGGCCACCGTCTGCGTCGTCCCGCCCGTTGTTTGTAAGAGGCTTGTCGCTATCATTCCAGCTGTGCTTGCGGATGAGGGGCTCGCCGCGATACCGACTGAGCAGGCGGATCGCATACGATTGTCTTTGTTCAAGGTTGCTCAGCTCGCCTCCGCTTCGGGGCACCTCCCGTCGGAGGTGTGGAATGTGTCCGGCATTCGCATGGCTGTTTCTCACGATGGCGAGGTAGGGGAGCTGCTGCGGTCGTTTTCGAAGTCGGGGATTGTGTCGAGCAGCGCATGCGACATGTCTGGAAAACCACGTAGCAAGGGGCTCTCGCTGGCGCGCCGTCCGAGAAAACGAAGGCGAATTACTAATAATCCTCAGCCTATGGACACCGAAGAGCAGTTTAGCGGCGTTCAGGAAGCCTTATCACAGAGCGTGGCTAGTCTAGGCGACGGACGGGAACCCGTTGCGCCTGTTGCTACGCTAATTAAGGAGTTGGGCAAGCTCGGGAGCATTTACAGCTGCGTCGAGGAGCCGAAAGCCTTGCAGGTTCTTCGCCGTGTTGCAGCGTTGTCGGCGGATGCGTTACGTTACGCGGAGACGCCGAAGAGCGCCAAGTTGCCGTGCGATACATTGGAATCGTGGCTAACGTTCGCTCATTCCATCTCCCAGATTATCATCGACGTTACCAGTAGCATTAAACTGGAGTCTACTCGCGATCTTTGGGAAGGACTTCTACTGCTAGGATCTGAGAGTCTAAGACTTGCTACTTCTCTGAGCGTCTTGGATCAAAATGGCACTTTCGACAAAGCCCTGCGAAATAGTACGCGGGTCGCTACAGCGCGACATGACTGCAATGTCTTAATTGCCTCTGTGGTTACTGTTCTCGACTGTGCAAGCCAAGCATTGCTTTCGAACCAAGGGAATATCCCTATTGGCTTGCTCTCTGACCTTGTCTGGAGACTTGGCGAGAGAGCAAGAAGAGAACGCTCAACTGTAGATGAAGAGCTTGTATCGGGCGTATGCGAAAGAATTCGCTCTTGCGCACTGCAAGTGAGCTCTGTTTGTAAGCTTCATGAAAAACAGTCTCTCCTGAAAAGCTCTTTTCATGCCATCGCTGCTATGGGTTGTCAAGTGGCACCCGATCGAGTTGCCAGTGATCTCTCGACGCTGTGCACTTTGGTTCCCGAGTATTCAACTAAATCCCCGGGATATGCAGCAGCCGCGCTTTATGCAATTTCAGATCTGATATGTCGACATGTCGATTGCGATGCAGAACATGTGCAAACAAATGCCACAGGGAAGAGTGAACACGAGAGCCTTTCAGTTTTTGATGAGAGCAAGTGGGTGGTGACTTTCCCCGTCGTCAGTGCGATCGTTCGCGGGACCGGTGCTGATGAGCTCATTCTTGCAGCCGCACATTGCCTGGGAATTCTAGTTGTTCATGCTCCACTGCACAAGATCGGTGAGGCTAGTTCAGTTTTAGTGCAGACCATTTGGCATCCAACAAGCTCCATCGCTCGAGAGAGAGCTATAGCCTTTCTCTCTGCCCTTCTTCTGCGACATCTTGAGCGGCAGGATAGAGGCATCGAGCTTCATCAAGGTTCGATTTTTTCGTCCTACGCTTCATCTCTGCGAAGACAGAATGACTCTTGGGATGGCATTGAGAAAGTCTTGTCGTTGACTGGCGAGTCAAGCGATGTTTTTCGTCTTCTCGGTATAGAACTACAGAATCGAACGCAATCATGGAGCATGGCTCTCCAGAGCCACAATGTGAAAGACATTGAGAAGTTAGATATTGGTCCTCTCGGACTGATTTTGGGTCTTCGTTCAGATGCGATTCCCATGGCACGAATAAAGGGTCTGGCAGCAGACTATCTCTTGGCTGCTGCAATTTCAGAACTGCAGCATTGGCAGGGTTCTTTGAATTCTCAATCGGAGAAAGCCGCACAAGTACCTACCCTCCCACTGAAGGCGTGGAAACGCCTTCTCAATCTTGAATCAAACGGCAACGGGGCACGATACTCCTCGCGGGCCCGAGCAGACTGCGATGCCGGCACTACCATTGGACCCAATCTGGTCGAAAGCCGGCAAGCAGTTGTCTACGGTCGTCGTCCCATTGCTTTGCAACTATCAAGATTTCTGAGTTCCAGCTTATCCGAGTGGCTTCCATTCACAGTTTGCCGAATGCTGCAAAACGATTCCTTCACAGAAGCATTAAGGGTTGTCTTGCTTTGCCCAAACGTTGAGGCATTATGGAAGAAGGTCCCGAGGTACGCAGTTGGTCCGTTCCTTCGACAAAGGGACGCAGTAGGTTTGGAGTCTCTAGCTCTGCGTGTAAATCAATCCAAGAAGGATCTTGTCGATCAAGTTTGCGCTGATGCTCTGGCTAGGGCGGCGATGACAGACTTGGATGGTTTTGACGTAAGGCCGACTGGTGCGAACGCCCTTATTTTGGAATCGCTCGGAATGCCTTTGGTAACCATCGTTCGCAAACGTGCCGGAAAGATTGTACAAAGAATAATCATGGACATTGGTGGAGAAAGAGATCTTCAGGCTAGGCGGGCGCTATTCTCAGTAGCCCAGATTCTTCCAATCTCCCGACAAGGAAGCAGTACAGAACCTAATGTTGTGGGAGCCTTGGTATCTACGCACTTCATGCTTGTCATGGATGCTGTAAACCGAGGCCTCTTTAGTTCAAAGGCCTCTGAAAAGGACCGTATGCATTATTTGCGCATGCTGGATGGTGTGATTGGCCTCGCCCATGAGCGCTTGCACGTCTACGTCCCCAAGATTCTCGCCACCTTGAAAATGGCCGCAGAACTTGAAAGAGAGAGCCCGTGGTTCCATCAGCAAACGATGAAGGCATGGACTAATTTTCTACTGCATCTTGGTCCAAAGCGCATGTTGCCTCACTTGGGATCAATACTGGCTATTCTTTTGCCGATGGTGTCATCGGCAGAAGATACTTTAGCAGCAACTCTCCATCGGTTAATCGCAGAGGGTAAAAGGCATTCGTTTGCAGACTGGGCAGAAATTGTTCTACTTCTCCGGATGGCGAAGCACCCGATGCTGAAGGAAACTGCGAGACAGATCGCGGGGGAAATCACTTCTGAGAGTGTCCACCCCCTTGAAACCGATGCTTCTATACAAACTGACGCACCTGTGACTCATAATTTGTTGATGACATGCGAATCCGTCGGAAAAATCATCACAAAACATGAGAATGGGGTGATCGAAGTGATGGCTGCTGATTTCCTTCGGTCACTACTTAAGAAAAACCGGAAGTTACTTGATGGCATATTACGTTTCGACCGCGTTCAGGGATACAAAAAGAACAGAGAGATTCAAGTTATAGCCAGGCTGCTTGAGGGTCTGGTGGAAAATCTCAATAAGACCAAGAACGAGGTTTGTCAGAATATAATAATGCACTGCATCGGTGAGATTGGAGCTGTGGACCCTGCGATTGTGATGCAGTTCTCACGTGCGCAATCCAATACGTCCGCCAGTTCTTTGCGTGATAGTCATACGTATTCCTGTACCGTGCATGGCTTGGTTGCCTTTCTTCTAGATGAGTTCCTTGTGCCTTCGTTGGTGCGTGGGGAGAAAGCGAGTGGATCAAGAAGTCTATTAAATAGAGTTGGCCTTGTGATCCAAGAACTGCTGCGCGTCTGCGGATGCAGGGCCGACACAGCCGCAAGGGCAAGTAAAGCCATTCAACCGCGAGGATCTCAATCTCCCCCTGTAGACTGGAAGAGGTTGTTAGTGGGAGACACAGAGGGAGAGAATGGCATATTCTTTTGGGAATGCTTGGGGGGCACCACTAGGACTGTCGCCCAGCCGTATCTTGCCGAGCCATTTGATGTCCAACATTACAAGGGAGTGTTCGGCGGAAATTCAGCCGGTGACATCACTCTGGCATGCCAACCTGTTTGGTCCAAGGTAAAGGCGGCTTCTCCTGCTGGTGTGGTTGCAACAGCTCAGGAATGGCGACGGCAGATAGTGGTACAACTTGTCGATTACATTGGAAATCAAAGCAGGTTTGGGAAAACACTGAAAGCTTCACGCCCAGTACTTCGCTACGACGACAATGTGGCAGCATACATGTTTCCGTTCGCTATCACCGCCGCGCTTGATATCCAAAGAGGAAAGCGGTGTGTTGAAGTTCAAGAGTTTCTGGTTAGCGAAATAGTCCAAGTACTGAATGAGTGTCCGTCGCCGCAGCCAGTATTTGACATATTGGACATTCTGCGAACATGGAGAGAAGAGCGATGCAAGCTGCGGGGAAGGACGTTTCCCTCAAGATTTAACACTCCAGAAATGTCGAGCGCCAAGCGACGCGCCCTTCTCGAGGTGAAGACAGCCAAGGAGCGAGTCTCCGATCCCCTCTCGCCTCTGGTCGATTTGGATGGAAATGAAGCAGATCAATTGTCCTTACTAGTACAGGCCAGAGCAGCGTACGGAGCACGTTCGTATTACCGAGCCGTGATGCTCGCTGAATACTACATTCGAAACCTACGAGTGAAGCACGGTTATGGGGAGTGGCCAGCATTCATCGAAAGTCTACGTCAAGGGCAATATCAGGTGATTGAGGCAAGTTGTGGGGAACTCGAGGCCTTGAGTATTTTGCAAAAGTCGTTTGCAGAGCTGGAAGATCCAGAAAGCATGGCTGGCCTTGCTACATTGCGCGGGAAAACTTCACTCGCGGAGTCAGTCATCGACGCAGAGGCAGCGGGTAGGCTTGATGAAGCTCTTCTTACGTATGAAAGGGCGCTTGCGTCAAGTCCACGTCAATGGGAGCTGCATGATGGATTCCTCCGGTGTCTAATGACTCTTGGTCATTGGGAAACAATGCTCTCCCATGCTGAGGGACTGGTTTCGTCTGCCAACTTAGATGAAAAGAGACTGCGACAATCGGCGCAAGCACTTGGGATTGATGCTGCGTGGCGACTTGGTCGGTGGGACAAGGTGGCAGACTTTGGCAAGTTCTCTGCTGACACAGACAGGCAAAAGCCGTCGTCCGGTAGCACTGCATGGACATTAGACTTCAATGTGAGTTTTGGAAGAATGCTGACGTCTTTGCGAAACAGAAGAACAGTACAGATGCGGAGAGCTGCTTGTGAAGCAAGAAGCCATCTTCGCGTGCCCATTGTTCGCCTTGCTCGAGAAGGTTACAGCCGGGCATATCCCATGCTTACCCTTTTACATTCCCTTTCCGATATAGAAGATACTATCTATGCATGCGAAGCAATGACTGAATCGAGTGAAGATACAGACTCCAGGCACGAAGTCTCTTATACCCCTCTGATCTCACTAGCAGGACGCTTCGCCGCAACTGCGCCGTCGCTGAAAATTCGGGAGCCTCTTCTGTCCGCGAAAAGGGTATGCTATGAACTGCTACATAAGAAAAGCGAGGCAGCAGCAGTCGATCTGCAGCTCGCGCAGCTAGCTCATGAAGAAGATAACCTTCGGGCCGCATCCGTATATGCGTTCAATGCTTCGTCGAAGGTTTCCATAGATGAAGTTAGATTCGAAGCCGTTTTGCAGATGGCTCGACTATGTCATGACCAAGGCGATGCCTCTGGTGCGTTATTGATGGTTGAAAAGGAAATTCACAGCCTTCAGATAACCGAGCAAGCAAGCGAAAAGGTCTGTGGAAAAAACGCCCCTTCCCCTATCCCAGGGCGCCTGTGCACTGCATACGTGTTGGCAGGGCGATGGATCGAGGAAGCTCGCAGTGAGCCATCTGAAGTTATTTTGTCGTTCTTTGAACAAGCGGCAGTACTCGGACCTAGCCGAGAAGAACCGTTTTACGCTCTCGGCCGACATTATGACGCATTACTTCAGGCGGGATCGAATACAGACTCAAACGTGTCCCTTCCTGTTATAAAGAGCGCAGCACGCTCTTCCCGTCGCGCACTGGAAGGCGGTAGTGATCCGCTATCAGGGAGTGAATACGTCCCTATGATTATTAAGAGCTTTGCACAGGCACTCTGCAACGGGAACGAGCGAATATATGAGGCGCTCCCCAGGATGATGACCGTCTGGTTTGACTATCATTCTGCCGCAAATTGCCCCGACGCAAGACTGTCTGGTGGTCCAGTTGAGACAGATGTTAAGCGAGAAATGAAGAAAGCGCTCGAAAGCATTCCAGTATATATGTGGATGACTGCAATTCCTCAGCTCATGAGCCGATTATTGCATCCGCGAAAGACGGTGAGAGATGAGCTTACCCAGCTTCTTGCGCGAATCTTTTGTGCTTTTCCAGATCAATGTACGTGGCTGATTCTTCCTTCAAGTCAGTTAAAAACAATTGATCGCAAGAAAGCGGCATCAGCTGTGCTTAACCAAGCGGTACAGACGAGAAAGATGGGAAGGGCCCTTGCTGCTGATGAGGATCGTCAAGAGCAAGTACGGAATCTAAAATCCAAGATACATGGGGCCATAAGCGTCGTGCGTTCTTTCATTGATATTTGCCTCACGTTGCTTCCGAAGGATCGGCGAGGTCGATCTGAGAATTGCGCGAGAGAATTCACACCCTTGCGAGATCGTCTTACATCCTCGAAGATCGCGAACCCGATCATACCCGCAGTGCGGACTTTGACCGTTCAGCTGTCGAGCACGCCAGGAATACCTCACAAGCCGTTTGCCTCTGAACCTGTACGCATTGCAGATATTGAGGATAAAGCGCTTGTTATGTCTTCGTTAATGAGACCTCGAAGAATTTCGCTCCTGGGAAGTGACGGGCGACAGTACCGCTTTCTGGCCAAGAAGGAGACAGCCGGTGACATGCGCAAAGACAGTCGTCTGGTGGAATTCATGACGGTGGTGAACCGGTTGCTGTCGAAGGATTCAAAGTCACGACAAAAGGACTTGGAACTGAAGACTTATGCTGTACTTCCGCTGACGGAAGAAACTGGAATGATCGAATGGGTGAACGATCTGGACCCGTTGCGGAAACTGGTGCGAGAGCAGCATCTCGCAATCCCAGATCTTCCTGAGGTGCAAGCGATCCAGGCAAAGTACCAGAACACATCAGATCGCAAAAAGTTTTTTCGCTGGGTGCTAAACAAGTTCCCGCCGGTCTTAGACAAATTCTTTCTATGTAGCTTTGGGGGTGACACTAATCCACAGTCGTGGCTTGATGCAAGGAATACCTGGACGAAGTCTGTAGCTGTATGGTCCATGGCTGGATACGTGGTAGGGCTGGGGGACCGTCATGGTGAGAATGTCTTAATCGAAACGACGACCGGGAGATGTGTTCACGTGGATTTTGCAATGCTTTTTGATAAGGGAATGGCACTGAAAGTTCCTGAAGTGGTGCCATTTCGGCTGACTCCCAACATGGTGTCTGCGATGGGCGTTGCTGGATATGAGGGCACGTTCAGAGTCGTGTCAGAGATGGTGATGGGCATCCTCCGAAAGAACTCTGATGCATTGTTAGGAGTGTTGGAAACCTTCCTTTACGACCCGCTTGCAGACTGGGGTCGAAGTGATACGAAAGGAGCAAATGGAACAGTCATCGCTAGCAAGGAAGCTTGGCAGACCAGAGCTGCCGTGAAGGCTAAACTAACTGGCATGGTAGACAGCTCGGGGATGCCCCTGTCGATACAGGGACAAGTGCAACGGCTTATCCACGAAGCAACGAGCGAGGATAACCTGTCAAAAATGTACTTGTGGTGGAGCGGGTGGGTGTAGCATTTGCGGCAGTTGTCACGGACAAGCTTATTTATTCTTTCCACTGCGATGGCGGTGGGGGTATCCCTTGAGGGTTACTTTGCAAATGTAGTGCAAGTTTGACGCGTGCTTATGTAGATCGTTATGACGCGCAAATCCGAGAGCGGAAGAACATTGTAAATAGAAAGCCTAACTTCAGTACACGGTACTGCACAACTTAACTACAATTGCTTGCTTTAGGTTTGCGACCATGATCTTTGTGAGGTAATGAGGAAAGGCAGGTAAGGCCCTTTTCAAAAAGGTCGGGAGGCCTTCCTAATGCCACGGAGCCGACCGAAGTGCGACGGAACAAGGACTACCCTAAGGGTAGATTTTTTTTCTCGCTCGGAATCGGCGCTGTCACCTCCTTTCGGATAACAGCGATGCATCAGCTCCCTCATGAGCGTGGAGGCAAGATTCCCGTTGCAAAAGATGTATCTGAGGTCGGGCGAGATGTTTGTGATGCTGGAGAATATTGCAGCACCCAAAGATGTCTCCCTCACAGTCACCCGATGCGCGTGTGTGTTTGGTATACCAAGACTCTTGTAGCCGTGTACATGCAGTGGTG